CCTTTTTATAGACAAAGGGAAAAACCCAATCTTAATGTGCTTCTAATACTCAATCCCAATCCTATTTGGAATTGGATTTCTTAGCTTTCCCCTCATGTCCCCCTTTTCAAGTCTAGATTCATACCTTTGTGTTTGGAACTCCCCACTTTGAATCCATTTCAAACTCTTCTTTTGTGCCTCTTATTGATGACTTTCAATTTCCGAAAATTTCTTCAAAACTTGAGTAGATTTAGGGATAAGCCAAGGAATTTTTGTGATTTTTTTCTATTTGAAAAAGGCTGGGGGGCAGACCAACGAGATGAGTCTTGGGCAGCTAGGGTTGTTTATTTCCACCTACAATCAAAACGATGTCATTTTGCTGATTCCTCACTTCAAGTTTCACTTTTTTGTAAAAATAGTCCATAAACCTCTAGTTTTATCATTTAGTCCCAATTAAAATTGGGTTATGACAATAGACATTATAAAAATTCTTAATATATTTATAATAAATTTTGTTAAAACATTTTCACTTATATAAGATTTAAACTAAAATTTTACTAAAAAATGAAGAAAAATTTGATGGAAAATTTTCCAAAAGTTAATAGATCTAGTAAAATGAAAAATGTGAGTTACAAGATGTAGACTTTTCCAAATGAAGAAAAGAAATTAGAGGTTGCTGTTGTTGATTCTAAAATGATAATGACTGAAATATCATTTGATTCAAAATATTTTATAATATATTAATTAAAAAATTATTATTTTTAAATTTAAATTTAAGAAAAAATGTTTTACTGTGAATTTTAATAGATAAATCAATGAGTATTATTGTGTTTGTAAATATATTAAACTAAATAATGTATCAATTACTTTTCATCCCAAAATCAGCAATCAACCTGCCACTTCCAATATAAACAAAAGACAAAATGGTCAACTCACCTTCAAAATTATGAAGTGGGGATGAATTCACCACTAAACATATAACAAGGACAAATTCATTTACAAAATTTTTAATTTGGATAAATTACTCTAAGTTGAACATGTGATATCATCTGACGTTAATAATTCGTGATGTCATTTGTTAAATTTGAAATAATTTATCCAAATAATAGATATTTTAAATAAATTTATTTTTGTTTTATATTCAAAAGTAGGTCAATCCCTACTACATAACTTTGAGAGTGAATTTAACTGTTCAACCTAAGCAAAATTGAGAGCCCGAAACGAAAACTGCATGGTGATTGATGACACAAAAAAACCTAGAACCAACCCACCTAGGAATGGCCAAACCAGGCTCCAAACTGCCACTTCCAACGTAAGCAAAATTTTAAGGAATTTTTTATCTTGTGCCTTTAGGACACATGATAATAAGCATTTATTAGGGAATTTGACACTAATTACAAAAATATCTTTATGTATTAAGTTATTGTAATTAATTAGGGTTTTTTTTTTTGGTAAGACTAAGATGCCCTCATTTGATTACACTGCAAACTCCTTTTTTTCCAGCCTTTCCATCTCCATCTTCCATTCTTCTCTCTTCAGTTCCCCAAAATTTTTTTTTTCTCCTACTCTCCAATCCAATTGAAACTCTGTTTTTTTATTTTATAGACTTTCAATTTTTTGAAGAATCATCGTAAATATCTTACTACAGAAAATAGAAATGAAACTAGTAAAATAATTTGCCAGAAGGACTATCTCTTATTGGGACCTCTTACTGTAACAAATCGTTTTCAATTGGGTTAGACTGCGGAGCAGGAGAGAGGAAAATTTTGGGGAATTGGAGGAGAATGGAAGATGGAGACGGAAAGGTTGGAAAAAGGGAGTCTGCAGTATAAACAAATGAGGGCATTTTAGTCTTACCCAAAAAAACCCCTAATTAATTATAATGACTTAACCCATAAAATTTCCTTTCTAATTAATGTAAAATCCCTTAATAAATGCTTACTATCTTGTGCCCTTACGACAGAGAACATAAAATTCCAAATTTTAAGAACATATTGGGAAATGTTGTTCGAAAATAATGTTTTTCTAAATTTTTTATCCACCAACACAATTTCCTCAACAGCTTTCTTTCTTTGTGGATAAATTTCCTTGGCATTCACAATAATGAAATATTGCTCAGCAGATGCACAGAAGTCATTATCTGACCTCATTTTTCATTTTAAGTATTTTCTCTATTTAACTTTACTTGAATTAAATTTTAATATGAGTATTTAAAATTAATTGTTTAATTTTTATTTTTAAATAATTATTAAATATGTTTATTTTATTCTTATTTTAAAAAAATAATTTTAACGTATTTCATAATGATACTTATTTAAGTAGTGTGGTTAATTAAGAATAAATATAAAATTTTATAACATTAGAGCATATTAATCCTGATTTAAAAAATAATTTTAACGTATTTCATAATGATACTTATTTAAGTAGTGTGGTTAATTAAGAATAAATATAAAATTTTATAACGTTAGAGCATATTAATCTTGATTTAAAAAAAATTAAAGTCTCAAATTACATTTAAAAATCAAAATTCTAATTTAAAATTTAAAAATCCACTTTATTAAATATTGATATCTAAATTTGAAAACCAATTATATAATATAATATAATTAGTTTTCAAATCTAAATATTAATATTTAATAAGATGGATTTTAAAATTTTAAATTGCATTTTAATTATTTAAAGTTAGAACTTTAACTTATTTTAAAAATTGGGATTAATATACAATTTTTTCAAAATTTATTATTTAATTATTATATCTTTATTTTGTTGGAGAAAAAAAAATTAAGCCAACTAAAGTTGAATGAGTATTTTGTTCTAATTTTTAAGTGAATCCATTGTTTTAAAAGAAGATCATTAATATAATAGTCACGTGTTGTATAGCATATTAATTATAGGTTGATACTTCCATAAAAACTATATATCTTTTGGTATATTAGTAGAAGTTAAATACTTACTATTTAAAAAAAAAGATAATGATACGTGTATCTACCTGTTTGATACTTGGTGGGACACACCGCAATAAAATTTATTTTAAATAGAATAGTAGTAGTTCAGGATATGATGTGAATACTCTTTTTTTTTTTTTATCAGCAAAATAAATTTATTATATGGAGCACAAGGGGTACTTCTACCCATTACAAATGAAAACAGCTAGAATGATAGAATGTCAAAACCAACTAAGCATGTAATGCAGTCTGCAGATTAATTGACATCATAAAAGACGTTATACACAAGTAGGCTAACAATCTTCTTCATGGAAATGACAATTGTTCTTGCTGCTGCCTATCAATGAGGAAACTCGCACCCCTCCTATCTTTAATCTGCTACTGTTCCCTTCTGCTGTTTATGGAGCAATTTCAGCAATCGTTTGTGCCTTCTCACTGACAAAGCACAGTCAACTGGATTAACCTTCCACTCATGGAATGAAAAAACACAGCCATGCCTCTTATTCTTAATCTAGAAAAATGATTTGGCTTGAACCATATCCATTAGTCTTCCCCTAATGTTGTTTCCATTGTTAAAAACTTTACCATTTCTCCAATACCATAAATGCCATGAGACCACAAGAAAGATACAACCACCCATCTCCTTCCCTATTATCCTACCGAGGATATATCCAGTGTTGAACCAGGGGGACGTATGAGGATAGAGCTCAAGTTGAAGATGCTGCGTCTATGCTATTGTAAGACCCGCTGGAAATGGTAACGTGAAGTTTGAAGGGGTTTCTATGGGCATTGTGGCAAGGGCTTTCTACTGTCCCAATTCTGTCATTTTTTTAATGGGTGTTTCTCAGGTTTTGTGATATTTGGTGTGTTAGTTATTTGTTGGAAGGGAAGGTTTTGGTTTACTTTCTCTTTTATTTTTGTATGTGGGTTGGAGTACCCCTTGTACTCCATTTAATAAATTTCATTTTGCTGATCCAAAAATAAAAAAATAAAAAAAACAAAGATGTCTGCCACTCCTAGTGCATTATTAGGCATAATAGTCACCATGCCCCACCACTGCAGCACCTCTACCCACAAAATCCATGCTTCCTTACACATACTAAACAAATGATTAGCTTCGTCCACCATGTCATTACACAAAACACATATTAATTCCTCCTCCTGCAAAGGTACAACTTGCTTCCTAATATTCCACTTAGTTGGAAGTCTATCAAGACATAATCTTCACCCAAAGAAAGACACTTTGGAGGGTACTAATCTGCACGAAATTAGCTTACACGACTGATCCTCTAGAACACGCTTTGTAGGGGCTAAAAAATCGTAAGCCTTCTTTACCTCGTAACTACCATCCGAATCATGTATCCACCTCTAGCAATCTTCCACACCTTCCTTTAATTGAAAACTATCCAACACTTCCCACAACACCTTATCCTCATCCTTCTCTTATCCTATTCTTCCTTTCCTCCATTCCACTTTCCAACACCATTTATCCCCTTCCCATACTCCCATATCACTAATATTACACACCTTGTTCGTAAACAACTCATACAACCTTGGGCATAAAACTGTTCACTCCTAAAACCCACCCGATTCCCTTCCCCTACATCCCACCTAAACCCTTCCACCAACATATTTCGAAGTCTCATACAACCTTGGGCATAAAACCGTTCGCTCCTAAAACCTACCCGATTCCCGTCCCCTATGTCTCACCTAAACCCTTCCACCAACATATTTCGAAGTCTCATAGATCGCCTCTTATACTAATAATATCCCTCCAAATCTTAGATGCCCTCAAATTCCCAATTGCTGTAATGTCCACCTCCTCCCACTTGCCCCCATAACATTTCTCCTTTACTATCCATTTCCATAAGCTCTCTACACCATCCCCAAACCTATACCACCACTTTCATAGAAGTGCCCAATTTTTCCTACATAAGTTCGGCACCCCTAAACCCCCCTTTACCTTACTAGAGCATACATAATCCCATTTCACCCATGATCTCATTTCACCCATGATCTCTTCTTTTGTGACTCAACCCCTCCCCATAAAAAAGTTCTTTGAATGCTAATCAATTCGGCTAGCACATAATTTGGTATTAGGAATAATGACATATAGAAAATAGGTCAAGCAGAAAGTACCGAGTTAAGCAGAGTGAGGCAGCCACTAAAGGATAGCGAAGTAGCCTTCCAAACAACAAGTTTAGCTCGAAATTTATTTATCAGCGGCTCCCATAGCTTCTTTTTCCCAGGATTTCCATCAACGGGCATTCCCAAATAAATAAAAGGAGATTTCCCAACACCACAACACAACATGCTGGCTGATCCTTTTACCCATCTCGTTGGCACATTATACCTATAAATGCTCTTATTAAAATTAATTCGTAAACCAAATAGCAATTCGAACCATTGCAGAATTGTTTTAACCATAAATATATTCTGTGTCAGTTTTTCCCATACCAATTGTGTCATCTGTGAATTGGAGTAAAGACACAACTAACCCCCTCCTGCTAACCTCTAAACCTCGAAACAGATCCTCCATCATTTCTTTTTGAACCAATCCATTTAATCCCTCTCCAACCATCAAGAATAAAAAGGGGTATAAAGGATCACCTTGTCGTAATCCTTTTCCAACCTTAAACTCCTTTGTCGGGTTACCATTGATTAGGACTGAAATTCTAGTGGTCGATAAGCATTCCATGATCCAACCTTTCCATTTGGTTTCGAAACCCAATCTATCCATAATCCATTCCAAAAATGACCAATCCACACAATCATATGCCTTCGCAAAATCAGCTTTAAAAACAAAAGCCAGCTATTTCTTTCTCTTAACTTCCTCAACCACTTCATTCAACACCAAAACTCCATCAACTAATTGACGTCCTCCTAAGAAAGCAGATTGAGTTTCACTAATAATCCCCAACAGTACAGATTTAAGTCTATTAGCCAGCACCTTTGATAGCAGCTTATACACACATCCAATTAAGCTAATGGGTCTGTAGTCCTTTAATTTCACAGAATTAAACTTCTTAGGAATTAAAGTTAAAAAAGATGAATTCAACCAGCTAACCAATCTACTATTCTGATGAAACTCTGAAAAGAAACTCATAAAATCCTCCTTTAAACTATTCCATGCAAATTTAAGAAAAGTAAAGTTGTACCCGTCTGGGCCTGGGGCTTTAAAACCTTCACAGCTTTGCAACCTTTCCTCAATTTCTTCAATGGAGAATGGTCGTTCAAGCCAATGTTTTTCCTCTGTAGAAATTTGCTTGACGTTAACTCCATAAGGCTTTGGTCTATTCCACTTATCTCCTTGAAATAGCTTGCTAAAATAATTAACCGCCTTCTTCTTAACCTGTGTTGGTTCTTCTACCCAACATTCATCACACAATAAGCCTGTAATATGATTTTGGGCCTTTCTACCATTTGCAATTCTATGAAAGAATCACGTGTTTGCATCTCCCACACGCACTCAATTGCTTCTTGACTTCTGTTTCCATGTCACTTCTCTCTTCCTCATGATGTCCCACATTTTTTGAAATCCTTCTTGTCTTTGAAGAATCTCAAATTCATCCAAATCAAACTCCTCATTCTTCATATCAACCTGCTCAACTTGTTTAACAGCCTGTTCATATTGAGCTTCCATATCTCCAAACACATCCCAATTCCAACCCTTTAAAAACTCTTTTAACCCCTTTAACTTCTATTTGCACTTATACCCTGCAAATCCATCGACCTCCATTGCACTCCACTTCTCCTTGATTACCTTCTTAAAATCCAGATGAAGTAGCCATGCATCCAAAACTCGAAATGGCTTTGGTCCCCAGTCAGCTATTCTTGTTTTCAACACAATTGCACAGTGATTAGAAATGTTTCGTTTCAAGCCTTGCTGCACCTAATCTCCACCCATACTGTACATCTCTGCATTCATCAAAACTCTATCTAGTCTACTCATGGCTGTACCATCTGGCTTGTACCATGTAAAATGCCTATTTACCATTTTAATATCTATTAAACTTGCAGATAGAATGAACACATCAAAATCCTTCATATCTGGGCTCTCCCTTATTCTTCCCCTTCTTTCTTCAAGACATCTGACAACACTAAATTCTCCAACAATCAACCATCGTACTCTCTCTTTTGTAATCATGTTCCTTAACTCATCCCATAACTTTACTCGTTTTTGTCTGTCATTTGGACCATACACATTCACTAAATTACACTTCACCTTATGTATTCCCCACTCTCCTGTTATTCTTAGATAACCATCATCCGTGAAAGCTCCTGTCTTAGCAAAATTCATGTTATTCCATAAACACATCAAGCCTCTTGAAGCTTTGATCGATTCCTTCATCACCCAGCCAAACTTTCTCGAATTCCACACCGTTCTACACAAGTCACCATCCACCTTTTCTAACTTAGTTTCTTGCAAAAATAAAAAATCTGGTCATTCCTTTCTTACCAATTTTCCCACTTCCTTCCTTTTCAACACACGACCCAAGCCCCTAACATTAAAAGATATCAATTTCATCAACCAAAAATAACACACACCCACTCACAACTACCCTACCCTTAATCTCGCTTCCCCTGTCGTTCCCCTGCCTCCTCCCTCTCCTCCAACTCCAATAATCAAGACTGAACTTCCCTTTCATTTTCTTGAATTTGAATGCCCAATCT